TCCAGTCGTGTCTGATCTGCATCGCCCGGCGACTGCCCCGACCCGCCGTCACCCCTCCGGAATCCTTCATCACCAAACAGGACACCACAGGTGAATCCCGGGAATCCCCCGGAGCGGGGCGGGATGTTCCGGGAGGGAAGAGGCCCTGGGATGCGGCGTCGGGCTCCGGAACATCTTCCCAAGTTCTTCCCCAGTGGAAAAGCTCCGTGTGGGCGACACCCGGAGGGAACATCCCCCTGATCCAACAGCCCTCGGATTGTGGGGGCTGAGGGGTGGGAGGGAAAGATGGGAATCGTGGAATTCCAGGCTGCTTTGGGTGGGAAGGGAGCTGAAAACTCATCCAGTTCCAACTCCGGCACCTCCCGCTATCCCAGGGAATCCAACCCGGCCTTGGACACTCCCAGGGATCCAGGGGCAGCCACAGTTTCTCTGGGAATTCCAGCCCAGCCCCTCCCCACCCTCCCAGCCAGGAATCCCTTCCCAATCTCCCACCCAAATCTCCCCTTTCCCACTGGGATCCATTCCCTGGCTCCTGTCATTCCAGGCCCTGATCCCAAGTCCCTCTCCCGCTCTCCTGGAGCCCCTTCAGGCTCTGGAATGTTCTCCAAGCTCTCCCGGGATCCTTCCCTTCTCCAGCCTGGCCATTCCCAGCTCTCCCAGCCTGGATCCATCCCCTGCCATTGGATCCATCCCCAGCCCAACTCCTCCCTGGGAAGGAGTTCAGGGAACAAGGGGGTTCCCTGGGAATCTCGGGGCTCAGGGCAGGGTCTCCCTTCCCCTTTCCCTCCTTTTCCATCCCCACATTCCATAAAAATCTCTCTGAAAGGATTCTGAGTGTCCTTTATCCTGGAATCCCAGAGTGGTTTGGGTGGGAAGGGATTTTAAGGCTCATCCCATTCCGCGTTCCGGGACACCTCCCACTACCCCATCCCGCCCCAACCTCTCCCTCGTCGGGCCATCCCCAACTCCTCGAACTTCCCACATTCCCGGACCTGAGCGTGCCGGTGGCTTCTCCCTCTTTCCCAGGGAAAATCATCTCCATCGACACCAGCTCCCTGCGCGCCGCCGGCAGGACGGGATGGGAGGATTTGGTTCGGAAGTGCATCTACGCCTTCTTCCAGCCCCAGGGCCGGGAGCCGTCCTACGCCAAGCAGCTCTTCCAAGAAGGTACCGGGATCCGCTTCCCGCCGGGAATGGGCAGCTCCGAGCTGGGAACGGGTTCGGGGTTACAGGGAGTGGGAGATGCAGCCGGAATTTTTGGGATCGAGGTTTTCCAGGCGGGTTTTTCCATGTGGGATGACACACCCAGGGGCAGTTGGAGGATCAGGATCAGCTTTCCAGGGATTTGAGGTGGAGCTGGGAGTGTGCAGCTCCGAGCTGGGATGGGTTTAGGGTTGGAAGGAGTAGCCGGAATTTTTTGGTATCTCCAGGATTCAGGTTGTCCAGGCAGGTTTTCCATTTGGGATAACGCATCCAGGGGGTGTCGGAGGATCGGGATGGGTTTTCCAGGGATTTGAGGTGGAGCTGGGAATGTGCAATTCCAAGCTGGGGTGGATTCAAGGTTACAGGGAACGGGAGGAGCAGCTGGAATTTTTGGTATCTCCAGGATTCAGGTTCTCCAGGCGGGTTTTCCATGTGGGATAACACACCCTGGGGGTGTTGGAGGATCAGGATCAGCTTTCCAGGGATTTGAGGTGGAGCTGGGAATGTGCAGCTCCGAGCTGGGATGAGTTTAGGATTGGAGGAAGAGGGAGGAGGATCTGGAATTTTTTGGTATCTCCGGGATTGAGGTTGTCCAGGTGGGTTTTCCATGTGGGATAACGTGCTCAGGGGGTGTTGGAGGATCAGGATCAGCTTTCCAGGGATTTGAGGTGGAGTTGGGAATGTGCAATTCCAAACTGGGATGGGTTCAAGGTTACACGGAACGGGAGGAGCAGCTGGAATTTTGGGTATCTCCAGGATTCAGGTTTTCCAGGCGGGATAACACACCCAGGGGCAGTTGGAGGATCAGGATCAGCTTTCCAGGGATTTGAGATGGAGCTGGGAATGGGCAGCTCCGAGCTGGGATGGGTTCAAGGTTACACGGAACGGGAGGAGCAGCTGGAATTTTTGGTATCTCCGGGATTGAGGTTTTCCAGGCGGGTTTTCCATGTGGGATAACATGCACAGGGGGTCTTGGAGGATCGGGATCACCTTTCCAGGGATTTGAGATGGAGCTGGGAATGGGCAATTCCAAGCTGGGGTGGATTCAAGGTTACACGGAACGGGAGGAGCAGCTGGAATTTTTGGTATCTCCAGGACTGAGGTTCTCCAGGCATGTTTTCCATGTGGGATAACACGCCCAGGGGGTGTTGGAGGATTGGGGTGGACTTTCCAGCGATTTGAGGTGGAGCTGGGAATGTGCAATTCCAAACTGGGATGGGTTCAAGGTTACACGGAACGGGAGGAACAGCCGGAATTTTTGGTATCTCCAGGATTGAGGTTGTCCAGGTGGGTTTTCCATATGGGATAACGTGCCCAGGGGGTGTTGGAGGATCAGGATCAGCTTTCCAGGGATTTGAGATGGAGCTGGGAATG